AATATATATAATACTATATATAGAATGAAAAAAGTATGAAATAATGTAAATATTATTATATAAAGTTATAGTTATAAAAGATTTATTTGCATAGATAAAAGAATCACAACAGATACGTAAAAAATGTAATGTGTTGGAAAGATGTGTTTTGTACAAATAAAATAAAATATTTAAAAAGTAATCTTTTTCTCATGCTTAATTAGCTGTTTTACTGAAAGAAAAACTAGGACACTATACGCAGAAAATTAAACCATTCTTCCCTGAAAGAAACATTAGGATGGTATTGTTTTAAGAAATTAAAATCCTGATTAGATGCAGCTTCTTTGTACTGTTTGGAATATAAGAAAAATGGCTTTTCCCTAATATTACTCAGAAGAATTCTTAGTGAAAGAATAAAACCCAAGGCATTAATACATTATGCAATGTCTTCTAGGACACTGAGTTGTTGGATTTACGGGAAACTATTGATTTCTTGAAGAAGAAGAATTCAGAAGCCCAGGCTGTTATCCAAGGGGCTTTGAATGGAACTGATATTACACCCAAAGGTGAGGACAGCGGTTGATGCTCAGGATCCTTGAGGATATTTTTATCAGCATCTTCTCTATGATAGATTTGCTGTACATTTGTGTGTGTCAACATCAGTCAATATCCGAATCTATTAGGCAGCAGGGAAAACAATATTCATCTTCCTCTAAATATAGGCAATCAATTCCTGGTTTTAAATGCATATTGCACTTATACATCTCTTTCCCTAGTATTCTCCACTTCCCTATTTTGAATCTTGAGTTGGTATCTTTTAGATAAATACGCTGATTGCTTTTCACACAGAATCCTAACCTTTCTGAGATAATATTAAATTAATGGAAAGAAGCACATACATTCTGAATGGGTTTTTTTCTTTTCCTTGTTGTCCAGAACTACGAATCAAGAGGCAAAACTCATCAGATAGTATATCCAGCCTGAATAGCATCACCAGCCATTCTAGCATTGGTAGTAGCAAAGATGCAGATGCCAAGAAGAAGAAGAAGAAAAGCTGGGTAGGTCAAAAGAGAAGTGAAGCCAAGGACAATTAAGTTTACTTCTACAGTTTATGAATATGAAATCCTGCAGTGTTTTGTCAGAATAGGTAATAGAATGATAATCATGGTTATTCCAGAATTCTTTTCTATAGCAGTAGCTACACCTGCTTGGAGAAAATATTTCTGACAGAATTTTAGTTTGCAATATTTTGCTCTTGAATTCAAATATAAAGTTGCTTGCTGCAGGTGGAATTCATCCACTGCTAAACTATAGCCTATGAAGTATACACCAATCATATTTAATTATGATGATCAGGGGAAGTGACGTCTATATCATGGATTTTTATTAAAAACAAACACATGCACTTAAAAAGTACCCAATATGCATTTTTTTCCTGCCCACTCAATCCCATCTCGAACTTTTAACTATTTGATGTTTTTCTGTTCTCATTCCAACAGTTTGTTTTGAGCCAGCATATAGAACAGAAAAGTCTCAGTTATTTGGCTTCTCTTTAAACAGAAAAAAAAGAAAAGTAATTGAAGTGAAACATTTTGAGCTAGAGAATAATGTACAATTATTCTTAATTCTTCACAACTTTTTTTTTTTGCATGACAAGTCACTATTTGTGCTTCTAATGTGAGTCCTTATTTTTTTCTGTATGTTATCCTTACAGCTCTGGTATTTCCCCACTGTTCCAAGGAGAGCTATACCCCCAGCTCTCTGCCCAGTATGTGTGTCTTCCCTTTAGGAAGACTGGATAGGAGTCTGTTCTGCCTCTGTATGCTGAACATCCCTGCTTCTTCTGGGCAGGGAGCTCTGAGCTGAGTGCATGATTAAGTCTTGCTCTACTGTTTTTTCCCTTTTCTTCCTTCAATGCTGATCTACAACACTCTTTTATTTTCAGGTATATGAGGTAAGCTTGGAACTTCCCTTCCACCTTCTTCCCAGACCTTTCCTTATGTTTTACTCCTGATTGGTCACTCCATTGTACATGGGACAACTCAACACTTGTGAAACTAACCGTCCCATTTGCTCATATACTTGCACTGCCAAGTCATACTGTAAGAGGCACTGCACTGGGATTGGGGGAAAGTTTCATATCTGTTGATAATATTATCTTGAATCTGCCCTAATTCACTCTGAAAAACATTGTTCTTTTCACAAATCAGTATTTGTTAATCACTTCCCATTTGTAGTTTGTTTTTAAAGACTGCTTTCCAGTCTTATCGTATATAGAAGCATATTATAGTTGTCATAAGACAGGGGTGTCAAATTCAAGGCCCGGGGGCCAAATCCAGCCCACCAGGTACTTAGACCTGGCCCATGGGGCCTCCTTGGAAACAGTGAAGGACTGACCTGCAGTGCCTCTATCAGCAAAAACAGAGATTGGGAGGGCTGCGTACAACCCTNCCTAAACATATTGTATACCTTGAGAATATTAAAAAATAGTAATATAGTGTTGAAGTGGGGGGTGATAGTTTGTAGTTATTAAAGAGACGATATAAGATTGTATACTGAATCAAATCAAGAACATGTTAGGTTAAATATATTGAATATTGCATGAATATTGTGTAGATTGATTTGCATACAAACCCGAATATATAGAAATTAAGTTGTTAGATTGTAGGAATGAATAATATTGAATTGAAATGAAATGTGCATGGAAGAGGGAAAGTTCAAAGATTGAAAGGGCTGGTATAAGAGAGTGGAAACAAGTAGTGGGCAGAGAGAAGTATATGTTATTGTGGGGACAAGTACAACAATTAATAAAATGAATAGGAAGGCAGCATCCAATCCAGCATCAGCAACATCTTCACCCTCAAACCAGCGCACAACTGAGAGCACACTGAGTCTAGAGAAAGCTGTATGTAAGATGCATTAGCAATGATACAAGAAACAATGCTGAAAACACAAGAAACAATTTTTAAAAAATCACGAAGAAACTAGGAGAAACCTTGAAGAAATTAAACTACAAATGGGAGAAATGAAGAGTGATATTAAAAGAATAGATGATAGAATAGGGAAAATACAAAGTGAAATAACAAAAAATGAACAAAAAATTCAAAAAGTAGAAACAAAGGCAGAAAAAATGGAGAAGAGAATAGAGATGGTAGATGAGAAGCTGACTACACTAAACAGACAATTGGGGAAAATAGTATTTTTGGAATTAGAAAAAGCTGGCTTCTTTCTGCGCTTTCAAAATATAGTAGAAGAAAAGGAGGAGGAGTTAGGGGAAACAATTACAGAGATTGTTGCAAACATATTTCAAAAAACAAACAAACAAGAAACAAGAAGGGACATAGATGAGGTGTACCAAATCCACACAAATTACGCAGGAGACACAGGCTCCCAAAAGAAATCCACATACGCTTTACTAGAAAATCAGTAAGAGATGAAATATATAAGAAAGTGAGAGAAGAACAAATAACATATAAAGGAAGAGAGATACAAATTCTGAGACAAATCCCGAAAATAGTGAAGACCAGAGAAGGCAATATCAGTTCCTTACACAACAACTAATAAGGTACAATGTAATGTTCAGATGGCTTACACCAGAGGGAGTGATGATTACCTGGCAGGATAAAAGATATAAAATGGACACAACTGAGAAAGCACATGAGTTCTTTGAACATCATTTC